TATTGTTTAAGGTTGACGGACACGCATGTCTTAATTAGTTTTTTTTTTTTTTTACGAATTGGTCAAACCCAAATTCAAACAAAAACATTGTTTACAATTGTTATGAGTCTACCGATTGGTGAATAGAATTTTATTATAAACAATTGTCTTGTAAATGTAATTTTTAGAGCATTCTGAATGTAAATAAAGAAAAAAGTGTGCAAGACAATAAGAAATACTACCTGCACCCCCCAAAAAGTGGATGTTTGTTTTATCGGCTGAAAAATGTAAGAAATCCGATCCCATATATAAAGGAACACACACACACACACACACACACACACACACACACACACACACACACACACACACAACCTGGGTTTTTTTTAACCTAAGTCACTCCACGGAATCGCTAAAACATAGAGCATAGTCTGATGAAAAAGACGCTAAAGTTTATGAAAACAAAATTTTATCGTCAAAATGCTTGTTTTTTTATGAAGAGGATAGACTAAATTTTTTTTAATTATTTTTAAAATTTTTCCATCTTTTAGAATATTCTAAATTTTGATTTAAAAAACCTTGTTTCTCGTTGTCGCAACAAGGGGTAGTAAATAACATAGATAATTTTAGCGCGTTTTTTTGTATTTACACACATTAATTTGGAAAATCTTGCAAAAATAAAAAATAATTGTCAGATGTTAATGAAACTTTCAGAAACTATTCACAGATGATCGAAATCATTATAAATATGTTTTTTTTTTTATTAAAGTCATGTCAGAAATATTTTTTTTATATTTATTAACACCCCCATAACTAATTTTATTAAAAACTCTAGAAATTCGAGACCTTCGGTTTTAGTGATTACAACAGTTAAAAGCATAAGGCTTTGAAGAATGCAAATCATGTATTTTTTTTTTTGTTTTTTTTTTTGGCCAACGTACCTGAAAATCAGCTGTGAATTGTAACATACAAAACTCAATAAAACAAATATATTATTTAGTTTCAAATGCTTTTATTTGTTTTAATTTGTTTTTATGAATATGGACAATATTTTCTGGAAGCAAAAAATTTTTTGAATTTTTAATACAATTATTTCTTATTTCTTTAATTTTAAAAAGATTTTTAAAAAATGTTTAAATTGAATTTTAAAAAATATTTTAACATTAGTTAAATGCAACATCAACCTTTCAAAATTGTGAGATTGTCATTGTCTAGCGCTTTGAAAATTGTATAATTTGGACCAATCAAATTAGCCATGGTAATTAAGAAATGTAATTTTTGTGTTTATAGTCGGACAGTAATTATCAAGTACGGAAGACCAACCAGATTAGAATTTAGTTGCATTATTTGAGTTCAGCATTGTTCTCCGCTGTTAAGCCCTTTACTTTTGCGAAACACGTATGGAGAAGTTAATTTGAGTTTTCAATTTCAACTGAGAAGGGTACCTACAAGTAACAGTATCATCTTATGAAATTTAACTACTGCTAAACTTTAATTTATATGATCTTATTTTTATATTAATCTCAGTTATGACATTTTTCCATAAATGAAATATCAAAATTAATAATAAAATGAATGGAAATACAAATAACACAGTAAAATGTAATAAATGTACATAAAATTATAGTATTTTATGTAATACTTCTGATAAAATTTCATAAGAAAGGTACCTAAATTAATTAGATACCTTTTTCTTATGAAATTTAATCTCATATTTAACAGTCTTATTTTTAATTTCTTTATATTTTCCATAAAGCATCGTAAACGTAAAAATGAATGCTAAGTACAAAAAAAAAATAAATAAATAAATAAAAATAAAAAAATTAGAGCGCTGAAAGTTTTCCTTAACAGTAACGAGGTAAATAATTTGTTCACTTAAATAATTTCACTTCCTTCCATCCGTAGAAAAATTTTCTCCTCCCGTAAGTTATCTAAACGTCATGAATGTGCCTTTTCGTCAATCGTCAAGCGACGCGAAAAAGTTATGACCAGCTTTGTTTTTTTCCTTTCAAATTACATTTTTTCGGCGCAGAAGCTAAGTTAAACTTGGTTCTGTTTTTATTAAAATCAGTTTTGAAAAAATGATAATTGATTTTTTAAAAGAATATCAAAGTAAGATTTTAATCTTTTTATCAAATCGAAAAAAATGATTGAAAATGATTGATTATCTGCCCTTTTTTGACCAAAAAAAAAACAATATTTTTAACGAAAATTTCAGACGTGTTAGGAACGATTAAAAAATGTAAAAAAATACCCCCAAAATACTTTGATCTTTCCTCTTTAATAATAATATGAACATTAGACAATAAAATTTTGTTTTCGTCAAGTTCGGCTTTTTTTTCATCATGCTATGCTCTTTTGTTTACATTTTCGTGGGTGAGTTGTCCCCCTTTCATTCTCACGATGTGTCTTAATCGTGTTTTCAAATTGATTTTATTAAAAACAACTGTATTTTTCCCATTTTCGGCCCCGTTAGAACCACCACAAGGTAATTTTATGTAGTCCTGTGAAGTTTTGTTGAAATCGGCTAAAAAATGTAGGAAATTCGATCCAACATATAAACGTTACAGACACACACACACACAACCTGCGTTTTATAATAAGTAAGATATATATATATATATATATATATATATATATATATATGTGTGTGTGTGTGAAAAGTGTATATAAATATAAATAAATATATATATGTATAATTATTTATATGTTATATGCGCGGTACTTATTAGAAAGCGCTCAATATCAGAGATAGCGCTAACATACTAAACAAATTCACATCTATCCAACCAAATATATATATATATATATATATATATATATATATATATATATATATATAGCATTCTCGAAGAACATGGTGACTGGAGAAAGCCTTGCATTTCTGAGTCATGTGTGTGAAGTCCGGATAAATGTCGTCTGAGAGAAAGAAAAAAGATCGTAATCAGGATCCATGATTGATTACATGTTCAAGCAGCATCCATCCCCTTAATTGAAAATTTAGAAATCAGTGAAGGAATGGATGGCAAGTATAACTTTTGGATGCAATAGGTGTGCTTCGCCAGCCTGTTAGTGTTAACAGAGTCAAATATTGTGAAAGATTGGATTATTGAGGGAAGCTGTTATTCGAAAAAGACCCGGACGTTTGTCAGAGTGTTATCCTACCGCTGAAGAAATTGTCAACTCGATAAATGATCGAACCCAACATTTTGGATGTTTTACCGAATCCAACATATACACCTAACTTGTCTTTTTCTGATTAATAATGCATTCCTGCGTATAAATCCAACAATCCATATTTTATTGAGAGAAAAGTTTTGAAAACATTAAATACAGCATATCCGGGGTATAAAGACGCACATTTTCATAGACACACAGAAATAAATTTAAAATTTGCAAGAAAGCGTGAATGATACTTGTGTCAATTTGGTATACTTCGAAAAACTCAGGAATGCAGCGATTCTCTTTTCTGTTTTTTTAAGCAAATCACCCCAAGCAATACGGGAATGCCACTCCTTTTCTTGGAAAAAATGAGTGACTCTTCAATTATCAATGATTCTACACATGAATTGCAACTCCACAACATTATGTCACTAGCTCCAATCTTTCTTGTTGGTTATAGGCAGTTTTCTTTGGATTTTTCACTTGTTTTTTTTTTTCTGAGGCCCATGTAGAAGCAGAGAAAATCTTTTCCCATCAGCAATAATATTCTTAAAGAAATTAGAGTACCTTGTATTGTACAAGGTGTGGCAATAAAATACCTCCCACATAATGGTAAGATATTAACTAGATGAAGACACCATTGCCACTAATGTTTTACTATTATGTGAGAGGTACTTCAACGCACACCATGTACATCCATTCAACAAATTACTTTCTCTCAGAAGAGTTCTTTGACATTTGGGAATTTCTGTTACAAAATCTACAAGAAATATCAAGTTCTTGAAAGACCTCCTGATAGGAAAAGTTCCTCAAGAACTACTTTTAAAATTTTTGAAAAAATTGTCTAGTTGTCAGTTAAAGCTATTTTGGCAGTCTTTTCTTAAAATAAACTTTTTTTTTTTTTTTACCAGATTCAATTTTTTGAACTACCGATACATTTTTTTTTATTATTATTCTGATGGAAAATTCTGTAAATAGGGAACCAATGAAAATATCCGACGCAACACTCCCTGAAGTCCTAGCCAACACATCCCTGCAACTGAAAGAATTTCCGGCACCCTTCAGCAACAAAATATTGTACTGCGATACAAAACTGGATCACCCTAGACCCTACATACCTCCGGCACTCAGAAGTCAAGTTTTCAACCACCTCCATGGATTGTCGCATCCCAGCAAGCGCGCTACGGTCAAACTCATTGCCGATCGTTTCGCGTGGCCCAACATGAATACTGACATCCGTAATTGGGTATCAACGTGCCTTAAGTGCCAGAAATGCAAGGTACACCGGCACACAAAATCCCCACCAGGCACATTCAGCAACCCTGACACACGCTTCAGCCACATCCACATCGACATAGTGGGACCCAATGTGCCAGAATTATCAGTACCTCCTCACAGTGGTCGACCGTTTCTTCAGGTGGCCAGTAGCAGTACCCATCAGAGATACCTCGGCTAGCACGGTAGCAAAGACCATCCTTCAGGAGTGGATCGCAATTTTTGGCGTACCCAACATCATCACCACAGACCGCGGCGCGCAGTTTCAGTCCTCACTCTTTCAGGAATTCACTCAACTGCTCGGCGTCAAACACATCAAGACCACCGCCTACCATCCCTGTGCCAACGGCCTTGTGGAAAGGTTCCACCGTACACTAAAGGCCTCTCTAACTACAAACATCCCACCAGCAACTGGGTAGACGAGCTATCCCTAATCCTTTTGTCAATCCGCAAACACTCAAAAGAAGAATGCTCCAGCCGAAATAGTCTTCGGTACAGCACTCTCTTTACCCGGCCAATATTTCGACGACACCATACCCAACCTAACCACTGCAAGTCCCTTCACTCAGGAACTTCGCCATAAAATGGCCCAACTGAAGTATACACCACCCAGGCAATCATCACCAACTATCCACGTTCCACAACAGCTTCAGGACTGCGAGTTCATTTTTGTCCGAAATGACGCGGTAAAGAAACCACTAACACCAACATACCAGGGTCCATTCAAAGTCTTAAAACGCTCTGAGAAGCATCTCACCATTGATCGAGGAAAAGGACGGACACCATCTCCATCGACAGAGTCAAACCAGCTTTTCTGGAAAAATCCCCACGGGAGACAGAACCCGTCTCAACACACCCAGAACCCTCACCTGCCTCAACAACCACGCAATCGCAGCCGTCAAAACCGAGGTCGGAGCCAATCCCAGAATCACCCATCACTCCACCTAGGCAGACCCGTCTTGGAAGGAAAGTCACCTTCCCTAAGAAGTACAAGACATATATTTTCTTCTAATTGATAATGATCAATTATCCTGGGAGAGGGCCTTGTCGCAGTGTGCCCAAACACCACTCCCACCGTTTCTTAAACAACCCCGGCTATGCCTGCCGATAGAGAAAGGTCACGGTCCTTGTGTGCTAAAAATAGCAACGACATCCTTCCAAACTGTCAGAAACACACAAAACTCAATTTTCGCCACTAAACAAAAAAAAAGAAGACCTTTAATTTCGAACCGAAAATTAATTTAAATACAGTCAACAAACACCGAACACACTTTTTGACTGTAATTAATACGGCTCGGAATTAATTATATTCATTTACTTGTTTAGCGTCACCGATTTCTCTTGCATGAACCGTCATACCTATATCCCCGAGACTTCGCAGCGGTTTTTAGCCGGCCCGGGGGAGCAGGAAGCCTCCCTGATTCGCGACTTTGACGCGCCCAGTCAAGTCGATCAAGCCCAGCAGCTGACGGGACCCAGCAGCAGTTGTTCAAACAGTTTTCTTCAGGGCTAACTTCCCAAAGTCATTCGATCACCACTCTTCGAGACTTCACTCTTCGCTACTGCCTTCCCTCTGTGACGCCAGCGCTCCTGCAGCCTTCAGATCACTCTTGCTGCTTCAAGCTCTCTCCTGCAGCCTTCAGATCACTCTTGCAGCTTCCAGCTCTCTCCTGCAGCCTTCAGCTCATTCCTGCACCTTCCAGCACTCCTGCAGCCTTCAGATCACTCTTGCAGCATCCGGCACTCCTGCAGCTTCCAGCTCGCTCCTGTAGCCTTCAGCTCACCCTTACGGCTTCCAGCACTCCTACCGCTTCCAGCTCACTCCTGCAGTTTACAGCTCACCCCTACGGCGCTTTACTGACGTCCCGCGTCCTCTTCCAGTGCCCACTGACGTCTAGCACCCGTTATCGTCCGGACACTGTTCAAACGACCTCTGTCTTTTTTTACCATCCACCGTTTGCAAATAAAGACACGATTTCCATCGTCTACAACGGATCGTCTGCGTTTGTCATCCTTCTTTGCTATTGCCATCTCCTTGCCCTTGTGTCCCCCTTTTAGTTGTACGGTCGATTGGCACTCACACCTCTCGGCCCGCTGCAACAACTTTAATAAAAATAAATCAACTAAATTTTGTGCTAATTACATTTAAAAATAAAAACAAGTGTGCTTACATTTACTAATGTACATATGAGTTGGATGTAGTTGAATTTATTGTTATTTTAATTTCAGGTTAAATATTCAAAGTTTAGATCATTTTATATGTAAAAATACCTATCACAAATTATTTTTTTAGATTTCCTACAAAATGAAACTACTTAAAACCGAGTTTTAATCAGAAAATAATTTGTAATAAATTTTCAAAGTTATTGAATGAATTTTGTCAATAATTTGAGAAAAAAAATAACTGATCAGTTTGGATTTCTTTTAATAAATAAACAGAGCAAAGTAAAATGACCTAAGGATTTAAAAAACAAATACCCTGTATTTTCAATGATTCAATCTTCACTTATTAATATTACATTTTAAGTACATTGTGCAAAATTACGAATAAAAATAGATTAACAGATGTGAATTGTTCTTCCTATTTAGAATGCAACAATCTATTTGTGTAAATATAATTTTTTTCAACTGATTACTTGTTTATTCTCCAAAATTCCAATTATCTTCTTTCCTGAAAAACAAAAGTCTAAATTAATCAACATTATTCTAAATGAAAAATTCTAGTCTCCATCAGAAATTGTCCAAAGTTCATTTTGGAAGAAATATGCACCAAGCTTTTGATTTTAAGTCACCATTTGTCTCTACCTACCCTGATGATATGCAGGCAAAGTATAACGTGTGCATATGTCACAAAACTCATTAGTTCTATGAAACCTACATTTTGTGTAAATAAATTTTTATGTCAGTTAAGATTTCTGGCACACACAATTGGATTGGATTCAGGATGTCTTGCAGTCAAAAGTCGAATTATACTGTGACTCAGAGTTTTGTTTTCTCAACCTTTTATGTATACTTTATTTAAATTGACAGGTACTAAAATGAAAATGTTTCAATGAGTATGAAATACACATGTAACCAATTTTTGTATACTTCAATTTGGATGGTAGTCAATATATTCATCAAAATTAAATGTCTTTAACATAATATTGAAACAATTATCAAATAAAATTATTTGTAATGGAAAATTAAGTGGAGTTTGGTAAGCATTACAATTATTTCCCTTTCATGAGAATTTTCTTCAGTGTTGTAACCGATTGGCTGACCACTTGCAGAAAGATGGATATCTGGCAGCATCTGCTCCTTCCATAAACTGATTAGAGCAGTGGACCTATTCTTGGATAATGAGAAAATGCTAAAAAAATGTTACATTTTGTATTCATCTATTGTATACCCTATTTCAACATGAAATAAAATTATCGTTAAAGAATATGAACAAGCATTTTCAGAAGTAAAATAACTGAAGTTTTGTAATTCAGAAATTACGGTAATTGAATTTTTGTAACTGCTTATTGAATTTAGAAAACTATTCACTCTATTACGGTTGAAAATTTTCACTTTTTTAAAAATCTTAAACATATAGAGAGCCTCAAAATTCATTTTGAATTTTCTTACATGTTTGTGAAGGTTTGATATAAAAATGAAACTACTGTGAGGTTATCAGGTGTCGTATGATATGCAGACATTGCAGTTCAGAGTATTTGAAGAAGAATGGTACAAAAATACAAATGACACTTTAGATAAGAATTAAGAAAAAGAGATCTCAGATAGAACTGGAAATGGATAAATTCATAACTTGGATAAGGATAGTCATTTATTCTTGAATGGTATTAGTTAAAATCGTAAGAAGTAATAACATTTTTAGTGTGTTTTCTATAAAATTTTATTCAAATTACCATAAAAAATATTAAGGCTAAGAGAGCTGTATAAAAAGGAAAATATAGCCAAATGAAGATTAATCATTTCTTGCTGACAATATTTTAGCAGACTTCAATAATTTACAGATTTCTATTTATTTGAAGTATTACTTTGATCACAAAATGGGCTCAGATTGTTAGAAGATAAACAATTGTGCCTGCTTCTTTCCTATTCACTTTTGTTCAATTTCCATTTTTTTTCTTACAACTGACCTCTTCTTTATTCCATATAAACTTATTCTAGGGACTTCCACAAAAAGTGCAATACCGAAGATTTAAAATGAATTTTTAAAAATGGAAGAACTTAAGGCTTTTATTTTAGTTTTAATTTCAAGCTAATAAATTAAATTAAATATTTCCAATAATCAAAATACTTTGTTGTATTTCAGAAACTAATTTAAATTGACTGGAAGGAGTTTTTTTTGCTAAAATAGCTGATTAGCACCATTGTTAATCATTTTTCATTGCAATGTAATTCTCTTTATTAAAAGAATCTCCAAAAAATAAAATATACATTTCTGAAAGTTTGAGTAATATTAGCTGATTTAAAGTATAATTAATTTGATCTGAAACAAATATTTACTTTAAGCTTAAAATATCAAAGAAATGCATTTTTAACCTGATCGTAGCTGTGTTGACAGATCTAAAGTTGTTCCCCCAAAACTTTATCTTTAAAATATAATTGAAGAAAATCACGAGTGGCTTTTTCATTTAATTTTTAAGTATCAGTAATATTAAAATTTTAGGAAAATATTTTCTGTAACCTAATGTTTTATAAAATTTTATAATTGTTGATTTTAAATCTACAATAATTATCACACTTATTTTCTGATATGCTCAGCTGTACTTACAAAAATCAGCATGTTTATACACACAACAAAAAACTTAAAAATTCTTTTAAAAATATTGGTGTTTGATGATTTGTATTAAGCTTTTCCATTTATAATTAGTAAATATAGATTTCTTTTAATAATATCATCTAAAAGGTTGAAATTAATACAAATTTGTAAAAGATTTAAAACATAATAATTTTTCTAAAATTAAAAAAAAAAGAAAACAATTCTTGTAAAAATTAATTATTAATCAAAAATTGTTTTTCTTAAGACTCTAGTGTCCTCAATATATCTTATTTATAAAAGTAATTAAAAGAATTTCTAATTAAATAATGCCATAGTTTTATTGCATTTTTTTAAATTTATGATTCAGAACAGATTTTTGGCAAATTGTGTTTTCAATTCTCCAAAAACCAATTGTTGATTTAAATATGAAGAGGCTGAAATTTTAATTTCTCAAAATTTCATAAAATTAAAATTAAATTGGAGTAAAAGATATAAAAAAAAATTTAATTTCATTCATTTGTGAAAAAAGTCCTTGCAAGAATTTCCAAAATATTTTTTACTAATAAAAAAAAAAGATTCTAAAATGTAAAGATTTGTAGATGGGCCCAAACACAGACATCCTTTTAGCCTAGCCTCAAAAATACCAGAGCTTGATCCTTCTTGATAAGCAAGGAGGCGAGCTTTAGCTAATGAAAACTTCCCCATTAACACGGGATTTTATCACCCGATCAACTTTTTAATTTGGAAGACTTTGCGCTGCTAACCCTATTTATATGTGTTGTCGACTAAAGTCAGCATGAAAATTCCTAAGTTTTGATTTCAGAGAATCCCACCACTTATTCCCAACCACAGCCCCGACAATTCCGCTGTAGCATTATGTATTATTAGAAATATTCATAGAAATATGATTTAATTTTTTTTTTTTTTTAAATCGGTTTATTAAACAGGTTGTTAGTTTTTTTTTCAAAACGGAAAAATAATTGAGTTTCGAAAATAATTCACTAAAATTGTACTTAGACGATCCTAAGGAAAAAAAAAAAAAAAAAAAAAAAAAGAGAAAAAGGAAAAAAAAGAAAGAAAGAGGTCGATGAATGCAAAAGGCCGGTCATTAGCGAAAACAGGTGTCAGAAAGGTATCTTTAAACATGGGTGCGTGTTGGACCGAATTTTTAAAGGACAATGGAAATTGTTATTTAGAATGAAAAGTCATTTAGAAGAGAGAAAAAAAACCAAAAGTGTTTGAACATGGTTGGGATTGATAAAAATGTCGGTCAAAGACATATGGCCTACTTTTTGCGTGGAAAAGACTCATTATCAATTTGGAGAAATGGGATTTTTTTTTAGAACAATGGAAACGAAATTTTAATCAGGGGAAAAAGTGTCTTTTGGGTTGAGGGGGTGACCGCTGGAATTGTATACAGATTCTGATCTGTTAAAAATTGGAACCCCACGATGATGAAGCGAAGACATTTTCAATTCAGATAATTAAGATTTTTGACTATCAGGTCTGAGCAAAAAAAAAAGAGGTAAAAAAAAGACAATTGCTCTTGGCTCACAGAGGACGCCAACAAGTCGGAAAATATTCTTCCTGAAGTCACATCTAATTAGCGGCGGGCTGTTTTGACAAGTCCAGGTGAGAAAGGCCAAAGTCATTGTCGTTTTTCATTGCGTGCGAAAAGGGCAAAATTAGATTTTGTTTTTTTTAGCAAGCTGAAACTTCACAGAACAAGGACGGATAAGCCACGCCCGATTGGAGACGTCACATATGTACGGGAGACGCCCAACCAGAAGTCTCATTGGCCGAAAACGGTCACGTGATATGCGGAAAAGAGGAGAAAGAAATGCTCGATCAAGAACCATTGGTCGAAAAGCGGTCACCTGACATACGAGAGACCGAGAGATGGGTATGCGCCTCCCCACCAAAGGCACTGTGGAGGAAGTAGGGGTGAAAATAATAGCGATAATGGGAAATCAGAAATAATGCGACTATTGAATTATCGAGAAAACCCTGACGCCGACAAACCCACCCCGGTTTGTTGCGGCGTCAATAAAAGCAGGACCCCAGTCGACAGAAATCAGTTGCAGGCTGAGTTGGACGGGGTAGACGGCCAGAGCAGTTGGAACGCGGGCGTCGGGCCCGATTCATTCGCCCCTTTGCGGCAAGAGAATCCTAAGACAAGAAATCCTTGCAGCCCAAGTCGAAGAAGAAGAAGAAACAATCAAAGCCGCAGAGAAGTTGCAGTCAAGTCGAAGATAAGAAGAAGAGCTGCAGATGAAGAGTTCAGCCCCGGACGACAAAAGAGATC